TAAAAAAAAAGATCGTTTACAGACCCCCGAAACGCCGGCTTCGTATGAATGAGAGGCTGGTTTGGTGAAAAATGTGTGTGTTTAGGCCAGGGTTTGGCTTTGTGTGGACGGGGCCTTAGATGTGAAACCGATCTTTTCCACAGTTCTTATCTACCTCTGCAAGGTTCTGAAAATCAAAGCTCTAAACTTTGATTTAAGTAATTTCTGAAATTTTTATGAGCCTTACTTCCATTCAAACGAAATTAGAATTTTAAGAAAACTATGAAAAGCTTGAAAGAAAGGAAATGAACATTTAGGGAATTTCCATTTAGTTTGAAGCAAATTAGTCAAGCAAAAGTGTCCTACCTCTTCATCCACTGAGATAAAATTACATAATAATTGACCTTTATTAATCCCACACTGGAGAAATGCACAATGGCAGTGGGCTGCCATTGTGCGGGTTAAGGGTCTTGCTCAGGGATCCAGAGTGGCAGTCCGTGGGAGTTGGTCTTGAACTCAGAACCTCTGGATTCCAAGCGCAATACCCAACCACTAGGCCACACTCATATGCTATAGCACTGCATGTAGAATAAACATCCAACAATGTCCTTAGTTTCTACTATAAACGGAGTCATGGAATCAACGCTTCCCCCTCAGGAGGGGCTAGATGGTTTGCCAGAACTGCTTTGACGTTGACCGGTAGTCCTTCTTATTTATGCCTCTGAAATCACTGGAGCAATAGCATGCACAGCCTCGTGGTACCTATTTGCTACTGTACCATGGGAGCCCCACAAGTCAGCCAATGTTGATAAGACTTCTTCAGCTTGACAGCTTTGCTTACCAACGCTGTCCATCATCAGATTCTGTGGTTGTCGGCACAACAAGCAATGCAAACACAATGTCCACAGCTGCAGAGGCTACAGGCCATTGCTACCACATAAACAACAGAGACAGAGAATATTGTCTCCCGTGGAATCTGACGAAAGCTATCCTGGAGGTATCATTTTTTTCTTTCACTTAGCCAGGTGTTGTCAGTGAACTTAAACTACTGAAATTGATTTGAATGAAACCCGGGAATTATGAAAATGATACAAAATGTTATAACAGATCATTAAAACAAATTTGAGCTTTAAAGCTTTTCATTAAATACATCATAAAACCAACAATAAATTAAAAAAAAATCTATGTTTAGCTTTGACCATCCTAGAGGAAGGCAACACTTGGGCTGCTGCTGTCGACAACTTTATGCTAGAAATACAGCAAATCTTGTTCTTCAGATTCTAGCCCTGTTTCTCTCTTCTCTCTGCATAGTTATTACTAAGCTGTTACCGCAGTATGTGCTCTCATTTATACTCTTAGACAGCTACTATATGGAGAAACTCCACTATTACCTTCTCTAGCACAGAAAGGATTTTTTTAACAACACAAAGCAGGTGACTGTCTACTGTTGCCACATGCTCATCCAGGAGGAGTAGATGCAAAGTTATTGACTCCTTGCAATCTGCTGGGTTTCCTTAGGTAGAACATTTGTTAAACAATATGTACCGGTATATATCATGGGATTAAATATAATCTATAGAGCACCTTTAGGTTACATGGGTTGTGAATTGATGCTATATTTAAAAAATGAATTGAATTTCTGCCTCCAGAAATACTGTACGAACTGGCCTGTGCACAAACCTATCTCAGTTATATCTATAGTCTTTGGCTGAGCATTTAGTGTTTAAATGATTTGATATTTTTCAAATAAACAGTGTGAAAGTCAGAGGAATTAGTAAAACCTGCATTTGTAAGGAGCTGCATTCACACCACTGCAGCACTGATGGAGAGGTTATTGTTCTCCAATCAAGGTGATGTCTTTGGCTGTCAGAATGCCTCACCTCATATTTCACAACTCATAATAGTGGAGAACATGTGTATGTGTGACTAGATGTTCTTTCCAAACAATGACAGTTATTTGGACCAGGGCTCCTTATGGACATAACTTTGGATAAGTGTTTTTTTTTTCAAAATTACATCCTAAAAAGTCTAGAAATTACAGACTGATATTTTTGTAGTGTCTATTAAAGAAATATAGCGACAGCTTTTATGGTTTTTATTTAAAAACGTGAAAGGTACAACATATTTTTATTTTTCTTATGTGAAG